ATAAATTGTTGAATATAATTGTTATAAGGCCAAAAAAATAACAATAATGTATCATTTGATGAAGACGACCCTCATGTGTTAACACCTCATTCTCCTTCAGTTCCCGATATGCTCTCTTACATATTTCCAACTCATTCATTTGGTGTATGGCATGGGATTTTATCAACCATGGTTGGCCAACGTATGCAGATATTTTACCATTGAGGGCGGCTATTTCGGTGTCGGTCCATTGAACCGGCGCTGGATATAGGTTATATATCTCCCCTTCGATCTGTCGCTGTTCGTCTGTCAAATAAGTTGCATCGAGAATGGGAAACAATTCCATGTTCAAAGACTCAAATACCAAGTTATAAAATCCGATTATTAAAAAAAATCTGCCAACGGTAGACGTAAAGTCCGTACTATTAAAGTCTATGTTATAAGATGATGGTACTCGATTTAAAATCAGTACAGTATTTACTTCAGTTTAGTATTTATTATTATTATTATTTTATTCTATGAGTATGTCGTTTTGAATATCCACTTTCAAAAATAATGCCACATAATCGATCACTATTTGAATATTGCTTTAAATCTAATTAGTTTAACAAAAAATTCACGCTCAATTGGTGGTATATCTCATGTGATTTTCGGACCAAAATTTAGTTTGGCGTTTAACGCACTAGCTCGAATCTTTTTATGGACCAAGTTATTTGCTCCCGGCAGCAGCGAAGGCCTTGAATACTTGGGAGTATTTCCTGTATCTCGTTCGGTCCCTTCTGTCGCCAACAAGGTACGCAACAAAGATCAAGACTATCCACCCCCGAATTTACCAGAAGACCAAATCAGACTGAGAATATTCAAACAGTTTGAGAATGTTAAACGAGATTACTTTGATACAAATTTCAAATTTTATTGGGAATGAATACCCAAAGAAATTACAAAAATAAAGAAAAATTAATAGTTTGGTTCAATTAATATTGACCGTGTTATCGGTTACGTTGCTTGAACTTATACCGAAAGACGAAAAGAAAATTTATCGGTTCAAAACTCTTGACCGTCGATGTGCGGTGTTACTTGATTAAAAAATTCAATTAACTTGCTTTTCAGAATTGGCGAACTGAACTGAACGAGAATGGTTATGACTGCTGATCAATGGTGTTCGCATCGCAGATCGATCACCATTCACCCCCGCGGAATTAAATAATCAAAATATCCACAAAAATTTTGATTGAAAACGGCTCATGCCGTTTGAAGACTGAGGACGAT